TATTCGAAAATTTAAAGCAGGTGATAAAATAATATTTTTAAGATTCAAAATTAGTGCACTTAGTCGTCAACTTCGAAATGGAGAAAATATTTACATTTTATCATCCCTTTACTAAAGTTATATTATAACTATAAAATACTTTGTACGTGACATTCTAAAAAATTTCAACATTTTTAATTCTTAGTAGGTCCCGATAGTATTTTCGCTCAGGGGCTCCTAAAAGCTTAATCCAGGTCTGCATGTATACAAGTATGCAGTGCATTTGACCAGTTGACTCACCATCGGTGTAGTCAGTCGGTAGCAGGGGTCGGATATTTTATCCCTCGACGCTCGCTTCCCCTGTTTTTCGCCCGTATTTCGATCCCCACTACTATTCCCCTCATGCGTGCTCATGCGCGTTCGCGAAGCTCTCCGCAGCGGTACCGTGAAAATCAGTGCATACCCCCACCAACTATTGGTCCCCACCATGGTCACGTCGTCCCCACTTTCCGGCCGAGGGATAAAATATCCAACCCCTGCGGTAGCGTCGGTAGTTGTCGACGGTTCTCGCGATACCTCGTTTCTGTGCCAGCCTTTCTCCTTTTGATGAGTTCTGTTCAAATTGCATTTATACATTGGCAACGGAGCGCACGCGATTCCCGACGTATTCGATCGTACATTATTGTGTCTCATCAACGATTTATCGAGTTTAAGAAAAATAGAATTTAACAACATTTTATTTAATGAGAAAATTCGAGGTCTTGGTGTACGTAGACTGACAAGAATTTAAATCGTATTTAAGGGAAAGTGAAGACGTCGGATCAACATCGATTAGTTATAAGAAGTTACAAGTGATTCGCGATTCCGGAAGATTACGAAGGCAGACGTTAACGGTTTTTCGAAATGAGAACAGTTTTTTGAAATAAAAAACGCGTCAAGGTGAGCGAAGAGGATACCGGAAATTGAAAATTGATAATTCAGTGGCTTTAAAAAAAGAAATGACTCTGGAAAACAATTCATTTCTCATTTCAACGATGCAAATAATATATTTGAAACACTCGTCAAAATGACCAGGTTCGATAACTAATAATGAGTGTGGTAGTATAGATAATAGAGATAATATAGTTACAGAAATAATGTACCCATATACATGTATTTTACATCTGTGCCAGTTTATGACCGATTCTTAAGGTTGTATTAGCATTTGAATAAGAACAATGACAAAGCATTGAAATTTCAACAGATATGTAATATGAGTTATTAGGTATTACATTAGTAAGACACCATACAAAATTTCAGAAATTTTGCGAGGCTATTAAACAAGCTATCACATCTTATTATGTTGAATGACAAAATTTTTATTTCATTTATAAGAAATACAGAAAAATTTATATAATTGTTAATACACGTTTTAAGAATATTTTAAAGTTGAAATAATACTAACTTCGAGGATATTATTTAATCGTAAGATAGACAATAAGAAGTAAGTGAAAGTAAGAATCGAAAGTCAGACTTGTAGAGAATCTAAACAGCTACGAATCAGGTACAATACTATCAAAAAGTATTGAAACCATATATTAGAGTATCAGAAATTATACATTAAAATTATGATT